GTTGTTTTTCTTCGATTTGATCTCACCACACGTTTAATTGATCGCCGATCACGATCATTCAGGATTTTTTTCCGGCCACATTTCAAATTGAAGATGATGGGTCTCCACTATCCTTCCAGTTTTTAATAATGCGTTGGACAAAGACTAACATCTTTTCCACGACCACGGGATGTGTCTTTCGACATGGTTGTTTAGGAAATGAAAGCAAGTCATTGCACCAGTTGGGGTTAAATAACTTGTTGCCAGCTGAAAGATAATCGCCCATGCAGTAATTATCCAATAGGAGGCTTGTACCTATTTGCTTAGTTGAATCCAGGTGGCCACTTTTTTTTTTAGCCAACGCAGTGTTTCTTACCTGCAAAAGAATAGGAAGTGGTTGGTTTTGAGAGACCATTTCCCCAAAAGAAGGATGATGTGAAGTCAACAGAAGTGGAGTAAAATCAATAAATTAATTAAAGTCTGTAGATCTAACAAGCATCTAAAAGCTATTCTGATTCTTAATATCCTTAAAGCCATCCCATAGCTAAAGTTTACAATAGTGAAAATTATTCAAATGTAATTGAAGGTAAATTTTGGTGCACATCATAAGAGGCTAATGTTTTTGAATCAATTGCTGTTATGCTACGTTCAGACCGCATGCTACAGAAGCAACAGGAACAGCTAGTTTACATGCAAAATCAATGGTTGATACGGATCAAGGTGCAGAAAAAGGTCCTGCAGTGCAGCTAGACTCTAGAGCAGCAGGAGCAGCACGTATGAGCAGCTGAAGCAGTGCCTCATTAGCTTCTGAGCATCTGACGCATGCGATGTGGTGCGAAAGCACCACCTAACAGCAGTGGTGTCAAAAGTTAAAAAAAATTGTGTTACTTAAGCAAAAGTATAGAAACTGCAGTTTAAAAACACTCTGGTAAAAGTTGAAGTATCAACTTGACCACTTTACTCAAGTAAAAGTGAAAAAGTAACTGCTCCAAAAACTACTTAAAGTATAAAAGTATAAAGTAACCTTTTAAAAAAAAAAAAAAGCCAGATGCCACTATATGCATTGAAAGCTCAATTTTTCGACTATTTTGAAAAATTCTTTGAGATAGGGCCAAGGATGAGGGAGGTCTTGTTGGTCTCCATCTCCAGATACGCTCTCGCCTGTGTCCGACCTTTCAGACATTTCAACATCTTTTTCTGAATCCGACATTGTAGCATGGCATAGAAAATTCGCGTTTAAAGTTTGAAGAACANACTGGCCCTAATCCTCTTCCGTAGAGAAGGGACATGGTAAATAAGTTTTACTTCTTCATACCACTTTTCAGGCAACTTACATAAATCAATAATCAATAACGAATGTCAGATCTCAGGCGATATATGCTGAGGAGTTTATCAAGTGGAAAATGTTGTGTATTTTATTACCTTCTATTTATGTTCAAATAAATTAAATTTATTTGGAACTGAACATTTTATTTAACTTAATGTTCAACCTGTAACCAATTGCTTTTTTGTGTGGTACATGCATGTTTGTTAACTTTTAATCTCTCTTTTATTTGGTTATTGTCTGAAATAAATTACTTTAATTCATTAATTATTTACAGAGTTTTATATATTGAGCTTTTATATCTTTTCTTCTATCTTTTTTTCAGTAAAGCGAACTGACCTTCTCTCTTTTAAGTAACTAATATGGACACGTGGTCTGCAGTTTTATAGAACAGAAAAAAATCCCTTTAATGTCCCACAATGGGGAAATTTATGCTTGGAAATATATCTGAATTAATTTTCAGCCTGGTATAGACCAGATACTATTTTTGAACAATTTCCTGTTTTTAATTTTTTTAGCTTCATCATGGTAACTGAAGCTGTAGGAAGTTTGAACTCAAAATAAACTGGGAATACATACATATTTGTGTTTGATACCAGTAAATATTGTCGAAATCAACTTAGATGGACATCAATCCTTACAAGCATGATAAATACACCAATATAAACAGCTGCTAGCTTTAAGAAACATTTCAAAATAGTTTTCTAAACTAAAAAAATAATTTCATCATTGCAATGTTTTTCTATATTGTTTGTCATTTGCGAATTTTCTGTCTGTCTTGGAATTTAAGATTTTAATTTCTCTGTAGGTTTATTATGTCCTCCTACCTCCTTCTTTGGGGAGGGGTTGTGGTGTTATGCTCCATGGCGTCATCAATCTTATCTTTCTCCCATGGAGCAAGCCACACTTCCTGTCAGGAGATGATCCCTGGACACATCCGTGCTCATCCTTTGGACCCAAAGCTCAGCTTTATCAACATACAAACTTCATCCTCTTCATATCTGCCAGGGCAGTTATTAACAGGTATCAAATAAACCAGATATTTAAAGGCATACTGGTTCACTTTCTTACTATCTTATCTGCAAAAGAATATGAAGTGGTAGGTTTTGAGAGACCATTTCTCCAAAAGAACGACGATGTGAAGTTTACAGAAGTGGAGTAAAAGCTAATTGAAGTCTGTAGCGAATCAATAAATTAATTAAAGTCTGTAGATCTAACAAGTAGATCTAAAAGCTATTCTGATTCTTAATATCCTTAAAGCCACCCCATAGCTAAAGTTTAGAATAGTGAAAATTATGTAACTATAATTGAAGGCTAATTTTGGTGGGGCTGCTGGACCAGACCAGGCATTCAAACCGAGCCCTTAGCTCCGGGGCCAGCCGGGGACGGAGCGACCGAACCCGACCCGGTGACTGTAAGCCAGGGCAGGTGGGGGGAAGGCAAAAATATACAAAGGCTTAAAATGGAATAAAAAAATTTGTGTGCCTCAACAGGACTTTATTGATTTTTGTTTCTCAAGAATGAGATTTGTTGATGTTCCCTGAATGCACCACAGCATTCAGAGGGAGCAGCTGAGAGACACTGGCCGACATCGGAGTCCCTCAGTCGGATCAACCGTTTGCTAGATCCCGCTGACTCCGCGGAACTTCAATATCCAATATCCAACTTCACGGCGGGATATGGCTCGGTTCTGCTGCGCTGTAGTTGACCAAAATCACGGACAATTTTGAAATTCCCCCCGGACATTTTTTTTTTTAGGTATGAAAAGTAGGACGTGTCCGAGAAAAAGAGGACATCTGGTTACCCTAATCATATGAGGCTAATGTTTTTGAATTAATCACTGTTATGGTAGGCTACGTTCAGACTGCACGCTACAGAAGCCACAGAAACAGCTGATTTCCATACAAAGTCAATGGTTGACGGGAATCAAGGAGCAGCAAAAGCTCCTGCAGCACGTTCTGAGCAGCTGAAGCAGCGCCTCGTGAGCTTCTGAGCATCTGACGCACGCGGCGTGCTGCGAAAGCAGCAGCTGCTGGAGTTGGAAAAGTTTAACTTTTTCTGCTCGATGCATCACATCAACCAATCATAGAAGCTGATCTGGGAGCTGGCAGGGAGACAGGCAGAGCACTGCTGATCATTGTGATCACTCCTCTGAAGCAGTTTATTAATGCCTAAATTACCTTAAAATGTTAAAACCTGCTGGCAAAATATGTTTGATTTTATTATTCTGGTGCTTGCAGTTTGGATTAGGTACATGAAAAATGCCTTCCTGCCGTCGCAAATATTAGCGAAAGACTTGACCCGGCCAGATGCTGACGTTGAACGGGATTCACAGTGACAAAGCAATGCCATGTACGGGGGTCTGAGTGGCTCCAACAATTAAATTAATATTTGAAGGCAGGATCATAATCTTGATGAACTGACTGCACAGATTAAGTTTTCAGGTTGACTCTCTAACGTAATAAAACTACTTATAACAGCAAATATAGCAAAGCCGCTCTCTGCCATTAAACACAGGAGCAGCAGAAGCATCAGACGCAACTGGACACACTTTACTGGACGCGCTTCAGGAGCATCAAAGATGGAGCAGCAGAAGGATTTAGTTAAGCTCCCAATGTTAGTTCTTTACTCCGATTGATACTATCAGCTAATCTGAGACGTATTCTAACTTCCCATTTAGAACCAAGCTAATAGCCAACTCCTAAGCTTTACCAAAATAAAGAGCAGCTTCCCGCTAAACCAACTAGCTAACAGTCACACTAACAGCCATCACAGTCTGGCTTATGGTTCATCGAATCAAACCGCTTCTCAGTCCAGCTAACAACTGTGTTAAGCCAAAAGCTAATAGACTTCAGCAAACATCCAGCAGGATCAAGCTAAAGGCTAATAGTGTACAGGTTACAGCTAACGTAGGCAAACAAAGCTAACAGTTCAAGGAGTTTAGCTAAAAGAGCCAAACTTTTTTTAAATGGTTCGATAATTATAGAGGTATTCACCTTCTAGGGTTCTTAGAATGGTGCTACTTTGACATTGTCCTTAAATACCCACTAATTATCCCTTCTCTCCATGCTCAGTCACTGTCCGAAGCTCCAGAGACTTCATGGGTTTCCTGCTCCAGGCCCGCAGTGTTGGTGGTGAAAGGAATGGGTTTGGTGGAGGTCATGATATCAGGAGACTCGGTCCACTTCTGGTTGGTGGTTCCTGGATTCGAAGTCCACCAGGTACCCATACTTTACGCTGCCTCTTTGAGGGTGACACGGTCACACACTCCGACAAACAGCTGAAGAGAAACCTCTCGTTCGTATGGCGCGCCCCCGACATGCCCAAGGGAGACATACGGTTCCAGTAAGCTCTCATTATCTAACAACTATAAGCCTGTTAAATTGTCCAAACCGAAAATTTAGGTTCTTTTCACATTTTATATTCAACAATAAACACATTTGTATTCCAGCCTCACTGTGGTACAATCATACTTCATATACTGGACTGGTATTGAGTCTTCAGTGGTGCGGGATCGGAGTGCTGCTGCTTGGAGAGGCAGTAGGACAAAAATGGTGGACGGAGCAAGCACCGTTTATGCTGTACAAGAGACGGTTACTGCCCAGACAGGTAGGAATACCAGCCTGATAAATTGTCAAAAACTGTGAAAAGCTAATTAAATAATGGATGTAGTAAAAAGCTTTAATATTTATTACTTCCCCCTAGCTCTCAGAGATAATAAGGTACAGAAGAACCATACTAATGATGGAGCTACTCCTGGCCCTTTTCTGGGACGCCATACAAAATTAAAAGCCGCAACTGAAATTCAGGAATTTCTACAACTTCAAACCAAAAATGAACACTCCAACTTTCCAACAAACAGCACTCTTTGGATTAACCACATAGTGACTAGAAGGAAGACTTTGACTTTAGGATTTCCTCCAAGCATCACCAAAAAGACTCCTGGATTACCTCTAATAACTGATCCTTTTTCTCATTCAACGAGCCCTTTTCCCTTACTTGACACTAGATATACGGTTACTTCAACAAATTACCCGTTGACCAAATTTTCCTCCTTAAACCGTCATGGCCCCGTGTCCCCACATAAGGATGTATCAACCAAAAGCATGGATCTGAACATAAAATCACAGGAGCAAAATCCTGGAAGAAACACGACAATGACTCCAAACACAACCCTAGGTCAACCCACTGAAGACTTTTACAGTACATATACCCCAAAACCTGAATATCAAATTTTGAAAGAACAGGGCAAAAATAAATCCGCAAAGCCTGAAACGTCAGGTAGCGCAGAGAAAGTGACTAACAATCATACAACTTCACAAATGAATAGAATTAAGACAGAGGTTACTCCCCCATCCTACCAAGCATCTTCATTCAAGTCTTTGTTTCAAACAGTTGAATCGAATGTAGATCTTAAGACTCAAATTGATACAAGTCACACCTTGATGGGAGCCAAAAGTACCCCGAAACAAACCAATTCACCTCTAACTACCACGACTCACATCCATCAAGCCGTGCATGTAACTGAAACACCTCAAAGTATCCCTCTTCAAGAAGAAAAAACCCAAACTGACACATCAACGGAGTCTTACAGACCCTCTTTCCAACCACAAGGGGTTTATTCTCAATCACTGTTAACTACACAGCTATTTGCAGTATCCAGAGGAGAAAATAATCTGAAATCTCAAGGCAATGCCAAAAGGATGACCCAGGTTGATGGTCTTGTTCCATCAAACAGCCAATCGTCTTTTACAACTATTGACTACCCTGTCAATTCCACCTCCTCTGATTCTTCACACAATACTTCTGTTGTTCCCCTTGGTGAAAACTTCACCTTACATCAGTCTGGGGGATCAGTGACATCACTTAAGCACCCATCAGTCACATCAAAATCTTCTTATCATTCCATCGCCCCCCACTCCATGAACAAAGCCAAAACAATCCCAGCTCATTCTGTACCCCCTTCACCTTTCCCAATCTCAGTGCCTCCGCATTTAACAGCTCGACAATACTATACCAGTCCTCAGCCAACCTTTCCAACCCCATCTGTCCTTTCTTCCTTTAGTGCCACCAACCATCCATCGACAACATCCTTGCCTACTACAACCTTCCCTCAGTGTATCACAACTTCTAGGTTTTCCACTTCCTCTACTAGGTCCCAAGCTTCCTCATCATTTTCTTACAATTCTGTTCCTACATTGTCCCCTTTGCCTTTCTCAGTAACTCCACCTTCAATTTCACCCCCCTTAAAATCTAGTTCATCATATTTTACATCAACAATCACCTCTCCTTACCCAGAACCAACCTCCGCTACACCTCTTTTTAGAAATACTCCCTTCCCATCACCGGTGCCTCGCAAAACCACTGTAAATGAGAGGCTGCTAACAGGGCCCCATCATCAATTCTCTAAAACGCACTTTACCTCTCTGGCACAAAGAAAACTTGTCCATCCAAACCCCAAACCTTATCCCAACCTCAGACCAAATCCTGGCCAAGAGATCCATCCAAACATTCTCAAAATTCAACCAAAGCGACCTTCAGATCCCTCTGAAACTCCAGATATGGATGGAAAGTATCCAGACATCATCCCCAGACACAGAGCCTGGGAGATAGGCATGCTGTTGGGGTGCTCAGCTGGTTTGGGCATGGTCCTGGTGGTCGGGATAAGGTATGTCTATCGGAAAGCTTGTGGTAGACGGACGGAGGTGACCTTGAACGACCGGGAGCGAGAATATGGAAGAGGAGGGCATGGGCTGATTCAACTCCAGGAATGTGGGGATTTGGTCAGAGTTAGAAAAATCAGAGAGAACAGTTTTGTGCTACTGGCAGAGTACGATATATTGCCATCAGCTACAAACTAAAAAGGACACTCAAGACAATGTATACAACATCCAAACAGGCTAGTTGTAGGCGCCAGATGCCTTTTTTATGCTCAGTTTTGAATTTGCCCCATATTATGTATATTTGATATTCATGTTTCATGTCATTTTGATATTAATTTGAAATTCATGAGTGATATTAATAATTTAGTTTAAAGTAAAACAACATATGCACAAGGTTGAAATTTGGATTTAGAATACCCAAAGGCCGTTACTTAGTGGGGCTTTAATGACTGTAGAATCCTTCGCAGTAGAGCAGCCATTCTTAGATTGACACGGCAGGAGGAAGATTGGTGCATTTTTTCTGTATGTGTTGTTATCATACTGTGGTCTGCAGAGCCTTAGATTTAGATTTATGAAAGTTTAGCCAGCATATTTTCGTTTGTATTTGTTTAAGTTGTCTTTTCTGTTTTTAAAATAAAAATACAAGATTGCAGTGGAAGATTGCCTTTTTTTTTTCCTGGAACCTACCGTATGAAGAATTTTGCTTAGATTTTCAAAAAATACCCTACACTTGTCTTTTGTACTCTAAGACTTTTAGTTGTTGCTTTGTAAATCTTTGTAAATCATTGGAACTGGTTTCAGGTTTCCAAAACGTTTTGCAGAAACTCTTTATACTAATAATAAATGTCTAGACTTTTTAAGCATTCTTATCATCATTTAAGCGCTCTTATGTTATTTTTGACATTTTAATACAGATGCCACATAGTTGTCGTCATTTCCTGCCTATGATAGCTTATTCTTACAAATTGGTTCTTCATGGCATCACTTCTGGGATAGATCTCCAACAACTAACAGAAGAACTGGCTTACCTCATATTTTCTGTGCCACTTTTCTTCTATATCATTTGATGAGGGAGTTTATGTACCAGCCCTGGTACCTTCGTAATAATCAAATTGTTCTAGTAGGAAAGTTGAGTCTCAGATTCAAGATAGATCAATTGGTCAAATTGGTCTTCAGCTTTGAGTCAGCAGCTTGTATAAACCGACATGGGCTCTAGATATGAGTCTGTACAAAATTACTCCTTTATAAGCAACTTTGTTTGGCTCAACAAATATTTAGATCTAATGTTTGCAAGATCTTCATGAACACTTTTGAGAATAGTGTAAATAACCTTTCATTCTAACTGGGTTTTTTTTTTTTTTTTGAATGTCAGGATTTTTTAATTTACGGTATTTCAAAACTGAAAACCCATTCACACCGATGTTTTGTTTTTTGTCTCAATTCTGAACAGAACTAAAAATCTATGTTGAATGAGAGTGATATTAAATAAAACGCCTTCCTGAGTGTTAATAGGATTTGATTGAATAAAAATTTCAATTACATTTAATATTGTGAGAGTGTTTTTAATTTGAACTGAATTAAACATCAGTAGAACATGTTACATTGTTTTATTAGGGACTTTAGCCAAAATAATGTGTAAGATCTACAATTTCCTTGAGTCTGCCGTTCTTTTTCTGTACTTAAAAAGCAAAACAAATACCAAATAATAGATTATTAAGATAATTTCAATGTGTAAAAGTGTCAAACTAGGATAATTCAACTTTTAAACCTTCTTGTGTGCATAACATTTAGACTAATCAGCATTTTACAGGAACTCTATTTGAAGAAATGTATATCTGAATGAATTAGCTCTTTGTTTTTCCTTTTCATGCTCATTATCAATAACTGCTAAAACATGCAAAGACATTAAATTTATTTTTTTTTAAATAAATGTATAGTTTGCTTTCTGAGACTTTACAAGTGAGAGTAATGATTTAAATTGAGCGATTCCATATCATACGTGCTATCACCATTACTCCCAAATGTGACAGAGGTACCATCTGTCCTAAATAAATGACATGCCAGTGAAAGTAATGAGCTCCCAAATCTGATTTGTTGCCACCTTGTTGTCTGACCAGTAAATGAAAGGACTTATTCCCAAATGTATTTATCCCAGAGTACAAATGAAAAACTCATTAGGAAATTTTTATTTAAAAAAGGGAAGATAACCAAACAGCAGGTGCTGCTGCCTCAAAGCCTGCATTGCTTTAGAACTTAATGTGATGATGTGATGAAACAAGTAAAAACACGGAAAATTTAGTCCAAAAAATACCAACTGTCCAAAATCATTAACTAAGTCTAAATCAATTAGTGCTGTTGGTATTTTTCCTGCATGATCTGATTTACCAGTAGTTGAAAACAAACCCTCTATGGTGACGGCATACATGCTGTGTCTTCTGTGTAATTAAACTATGAAACAGGGTGTTCAAAATAATTTCCATTTATGAATTATTGACTTGTTGGCCCTAAAGATGCATTCAGACGGAGCACGTTGTTGAGGGTGGTGGACTTACATTTTATCCTTATGCAAACCGTGTGGTGAAGGGCAGCTCCTCTTCACCCTTCACCTGACCCTACAGACAGTTACAGTTATGTGTGCCTTGTTCCAGTACCAGAGAAAACTCATCCAACGGTCCTCAGATACTATATACCTGTTGCCCTGACATCTTCTATTTGTTCACCTCAGCAAACAAATGCAGCTATCAGGACCCGCTGCAGTTTATGATGCCATCATACACCTGCTTCAATAAACCCACTGCCCTTTAGACAATGCAGACAGCACTGCAAGGAACATGTTCTTTAAATTTCTCCATTGCATATAACACAGTTCTGCCTGACTTGCTCTGTGAGAAACTTTGGTATACTCCTGTCCAGCTATGACTTCCACTATAAAACAGACTCCTGATATCAGCAGAAATACTTTTTGATGGCTCTGCAGTAGAGATGAGGAGATTCCGATTCACATCGGAGGTCAGACATGCATACATTAGATGGAAGTGTACTGGTAGATTCAATTCATATCAGGTTAAATTTTCAGGGTGAATTTATGCGCATCTTCTTCTCTAAGCCCTTTGAACCGGCAAATATAGTTAAATCGGATATTCTTGTATTTTTTTCCCAAGGGAACATTGTATATAATAAAGATGGAGGGAAACAAGATTAATATCAGCATGGACAAGATATGTAATGCGCCAAAAATACAAACAAACAAAGCATTTTATGCGCCAAATAAGAGAAAGACATCAAACTGCTGCCTGACACTGAATGAAATCTAAAAAGGGAGAATCTGGATGCACACAACTGAATTGGATGCTACTTTAAGGTAATGTACAATATCTCACCTCTATGGGCAATATTACAAATATGTTAGCCAGTTAGATTATATGGTCAATCAAAAGAGGCTAAATTAGCTGCATCTTCAATCCCAAAGACTCCCAAAGCATGAGCACAATTAAAAGAGCTGAATAATAGCTGCTAATGTCTGTTTAATGCATGACTTTTTTCAGTAAAATGTCCTTTATCCTTAAGTGCATCAAAGTCCACTCGACATGCATAAAGAAATGACCCAATCTGAGAACAGCAGCTCTCTTTGGTTTGTGATTGGCATGAAATCTGAATCAGTTTGCAGCCGTAGCTGATGCTCTATGTCGCTGTTTGTTAGCTCTAATCAGACAGGATAGCTTCTCAACGACAGAAAATGATTCAGAAATCCAAAACCTTTACCTTTTCATTTTTATTCATGCAGAGTGCCATTTGTCTCTTTTGCTTTTTCTTTTCCGTATTCAAGTTCTTTCAGTTCAGTGTTGCAGATGATTCTAATAGTGGATAAACTGATGTGATTTTATACCTCTAGTATTTACTTTACTCACATTAAATATCATAATTTAATTTCATATGTAGCTTTAAACAGCCTGTGTATTAACTCTATTTTTATTAGGCTTTTCATTTATCAGTTTCCACAGTAACTGCTAAGATTTCTTTATTAATATGCACTATTCTGCAGGTTTTTTTGTGTGCAAATGCTTCTCTTCTGTAGATCATAAAACAACCTGGAAATAGATTATCTTGCTTTCATTTTCTCTGATGTTGAAGTAGCACAAATCCAGCTGCAGTTGTGTTTCTATAGGCATTATTGAGACAAAAGATTTAGAATAAAATTCAAATTAATAAATGAATACACACAAATGTGTGTTTTTTTTTTTAACATGTATTGCTTTGCCCTATTGAAACCTCATGGGTTGAGCTAATAAATTCTCAAACCCCAGCTAACTATATAAAATGATTACCGGTATGTACATTAACTCTTCTTACGTCATATCGTTATGAAATCATTTTAGAATCTTACTGAATTCTGAACAAGAGTGATGTTTATGGCATCGTATTGACAGGGTTTAATGAATCACAGTTATATTTTAGAGGTATGTCAAGATGCTTATTGAATCAACCTTAGTGGTTGAGATAAACATCCCCACTTTACAGTCATTGGGTGCATCAAAGATGGACAATAAGCTGAGGACAGAGAGCTGGTGAACCGCTTTGTGGAATGGTGTAGAAACACCTTCATCTCCCTTATTTTGTCAGCAAAATAAGGGAGATGATTGTGGATTTCAGAAGAAACTGGAACAAGTCGAATCCTATTAGCATCATGGGCGAAGTAGTGGAGGTGGTGGAGGAGAGTAAATACCTTTGTGTTTACTTGGACAGCAAACGACTGGAGAACTGTGAAGCCGTCAACAAGAAGGGACNAGAAGAAACTGGAACAAGTCGAATCCTATTAGCATCATGGGCGAAGTAGTGGAGGTGGTGGAGGAGAGTAAATACCTTTGTGTTTACTTGGACAGCAAACGACTGGAGAACTGTGAAGCCGTCAACAAGAAGGGACGGAGCAGATTGAACTTCCTAAGGAAGCTTAGGTCCTTCCGCATTTGCAGTAAGATGCTACATATCTTCAATCAGTCTGTTGTTGAGAGTTTGATCTTCTCTGCCATCATTTGCTAGGTCAACAGCATCGGAGCTAATGACTTAAAGAAGCTGATCGAGCTAATAAAGAAGGCCGGCTCTTTTTTAGGAACTCCTCTAGAACCTCTGGGTATTATTTCACAAAGAACACTTCATAAAACGAAGAACATTATGGACCACCGGGAGCATCCTGCTCAGAAGACTGTTGAACATCAAAGTGTTTTCAGTCGGTTACTTTAACTTGGAGATTAGTAAAGTATTTTTGAAGTGAATCCAATATATTTATTTGTAGTTTTATCATCTAGAAATGTCAGTGATTAGCTTAAAACCATCCCCGTTTCTTTAAAAAAAAACAACATTGCTTCTAGTCTATCAAAAAAGGGTCAGGATTCCAAGTGTCGTTGTTATTTCTATATTAGATCTTACAATCCAACATTATGTTAAACAAAAACATTTACAATTTTTGGCAGAAACAGCTGGAAGAACCAAAGTAACAAAAATAAAATAAAAAAGACTGGTCCCAGAGACCCCGCCCATTTGGTTCCTCAAAATACTTCCTTTTCCCTCGGGATTGTTTTTTTTTTTAACTGTTCACGGTATAAAAAAATAAA